CTATGAGGGTCTGCCGAGGTAGGTTTTCTGGGGTTTTGGGCATTTGAACCTCTCTTATTACCCAACCTAAGGGAGAAATGCATTTTCCTCTAGGGTTGGGGTAGGAGGAGCCGGCTCATGTTTGGGCAACAGTTGAAATAACGACTAATTTAGGGTTACAGGTTTTGACTGTGCTCTTGTTTGAGAGTTTGCTGCTCTTTGACAGAGTGATGTTGAGCTGGCATGCGCCACTTTCGCGGTGCTGTGTCGGGCCTCATAGGTAGTTTGGCCCCCTTCCCGCTCCCATACTTCTGCTAGGCTTCAGTGTGCTGGCAATGGCGACTCAGCTTAGTCAGGAGGATCTTCGTCGTATGGGGCGTGGCCTCGGGAGCTGCGCGCTGCTGTCTTGCTTGTTTTGCAGGAGATGGAAGGGTCCGAGCCGGTACCGCCGCCGGCCTCTTCGGGCCAAGCGTCGTCCACTACGTCAGGGCGTACTTCGGAGCCTTCAGGTGGAGACCCAGTTCGTCGGCAAGGCTTTTGGTGTGGCGTTCCTTGTGCGTGCTGCAGTGGAGCAGGGACGTGCAATCGCTCGGGACCGCGTAGCCACCACTCGTGCCTTTCGTTATAGGCGGGCATTTAGGACCTCTTCTTTATTATCTGCCTGGCGGCAGCTAGCTCGTCTCACTTTCGCGCATTGTGTGGCTGTGCGAAGGAGCGAGATAATATTGTGCACCGCTTTGGTCTGTGACCGAGTGTGGCTCTGCTTGGAGAGTGTGCTTTAGCTCTGATGCATGCCAAGCGCTCCTCGGCGAGTTTTCAGGTGGGCTCGAGGTTTTTCTGTGTGCTTCCTAGCATGGCTTCAGCTGCTAACATCGACTTGCGCGCAGACGACAAGGGCTTGGCGGCTTGTCTTCGACTTGCAAATGTGCAGGATGCTTGGCGAGATGCCTTTGTGGCCAAACATCACATTGAGACGCTGGAGGACTTTGTCTTCTTGGTGCAGGCAACGCAGCCTTTTCAGGGTGAAAGATGGTCCGTGACAGCCTTTTCCAACGCTCATGTTTTGGCGATTGCGGAATCAGTGCGTGCAGAATTGCTTTCACTAGGTTTTCCGGTGCCGTGCTCTGCTGGGTCTAGTCTGGTGAGCCGGTCCGTTAGGCTAGGCCCTGACCTGCCTGGGTTCCCTAGTTCCCAACTCGTGCCTGACGCGCCCAGCTCGACCCGGGTTGTGAGCTGTGGGCTCCGCGAGCCTCATCGATGCAAGGGTCTCAGCAAGATGGTCCTTCGGAGCCAGTTCGCCTAGTGTCGGACTCTACGCGGGTGCAGCCTTTCCTCTCATGTGCCGAAGTGGCTCAACAGCTGCGAGCTGCCCGTCCGGTAGTCTGGAAAGGAGCAGGCGATCTCCTGCAAGTCCCGTGGTCCAAGACACCGCGTGGTAAGAAGTGGCTTGTGTTAGATCTTTGGAGTGGCTACGGGGGGTTGTGTTTGGCTTGCTTGGCCTTAGGGATGCACTTTTGTGCTTTAGCCGCTGAGTCTGATCCTGAGGCCGTTGCATGCGCTCAGAGTAGCGTGCCGAGCTTGGTGCATGTTCCACGCGTGGAGGATGTGTCGACTGAAATGCTGCTTCCTTTCCTTGAGCGACGGCAGGTTCGCGGCATGCTGGTAGGGGGTGGCTCCCCGTGCCAGGGCAACAGCAAGCTCAACAAGCACCGTAAGGGCCATCGTGATGTGCGATCTCGCCAGCCACAGGTTTTGCAGCAGTTGGTGTCGTCACTTCGTGAGCATCCGGCGTGCAAGGGCCTGGAGGTCATTACCTTCTTGGAGAATGTCGCTAGTGCCCCTCAGGATGTCGTTAACTGCTATAGTCAGTGGCTGCAAGGCCCCCCAGTGCGCATTGATGCCGCATGTTGTGGTTGGTGCCGCCGTGACAGGTTGTTTTGGTTGGTTGGCAATTCTAGGCATTTGGGTTCCTTTCAGGGTCCTCTGCCGGATGGTTGGGAGTGGTGTTCTACCTCCCAGGCCTCCCTTCAACTTTGTTACAGGGGCGAGAAACCGGTTCCCGCCAGGATTCATTGTGAGCAGGGCTTTCAGCTTCTTTCGGATCCGCTTTCAGTGATGCAAGGCAAAGCGCCGAGCATTTTCCCGTTCACACGTGAGTTCTACCACCCTGATGATGGTGTCGAGCAGGCCTCCCCGCAAGCAGTTGAACGCTGGTCATCCGATGCGCGTAGATTCCCACCCTCTGCCTATGAGGAGCATAGCTTGTTGCGGCGGGGCCAGGAGTGGCGAACACCGTCACCAGCTGAGCGATCCCAGATGTTAGGTGTGCCACCTTCAGCAACATCTGGTGTGCCGTGTGTGGCATCACTTCGTACGCAGCGTAGGAACAGTTTGCTGGGCAATGGCTTTCACATTCCAAGCTTGCTCTGTGTCTTGTCCTTGCTGCCGGGGCTTTGTGATGCCAAGTGGAATGCCCTGCCTTCTTCATTGCAGTGCTCTACTTCACAGGCCATGCATGACCGCGTCCAGGGCACAATTTGGGAGCCTGGCAGGTTGTCTGCGTTGCCGTGCACTTTGAGTACAGCAGCAATTGTTTGTGGCATGCAATCACAGCTGCTTGATTTTCAGGTTGACGCTGGCATTTGGAGTAAGTGTGCGGCCTCGTTGGAATGCTGCGAAACCTCATTGCTCCAGGGCTTTGCAGCCTTCCAGTTGTCTCGTGGCGAGGAGTGGCGCGTTTTACCGCCAGCAGCGATTGGGGCTCGTCAACGTTCGCAGCGTGCAGCAGTCGTGGATCTTGCAAGATTTTGCGTATCCTGCGGAGGCATTCCGCTCCGCCATCGTGGCGGCTCTCCTCTCTTGTGCTGATCCTGAAACAGTGGGGTTGCGATATCTGGAAACCGTGGGTGTCAGCGACCCCTTCCGGGATCTTTGATCTACATGCTCCTTCATCTGAGATGTGGGGCATTACGACCCAGCGTACTCGTATGCTGGATGTAGAAAAGGTCGGAGACCGAGTCTGCAGCACTGTTTCAGAGATCGACTTCATTCGTTGCACAGCTTTCATAATATTTGTGATCGGCAGTTGTACCACAAACAGTGGGGTGCAGGATAGTTATCTGATCTGATTTTAATGTGGTTTAAATCTGAATTCAACTTGTGATTTCAATGTGAGTTTAGTCTGGGGTTTGTTAGGGTTCAATTCTGTAATTGGTTTTGAGTCTGGGGGTTGTAGAGACTAGCGTAAAAGCGGGTTGCTTTTCTGCGCAGGCAGAGGAAAACAGATGCAGAGGAGTGAGAAGGGAGGGGGAGGATGGCAGGAGAGGGGAGGCCCGGGGTTGAGCGCAGTCACATTGGATTCACATCCAAATCACATTATGTGAGGTTGGGTTGGATGTGAGTTCGAGGTGAGTTTGGATGTGAATTTGATGTAAATTCGATGTGAATTGTCGGTTGGCATCCCATCCTGTCGCAAGCCCTAGTCAAAGACCATATTTAGTTCACATTAAAAGCACGTTAAATTCACATTTGTGGGTCCTGTTAGATTCACATCAAAACCAGATCGAAATCACATCTAAAACTATTCCCATAATCTGGGCTGTAGTAGCGACCCGCCCGTCGCAACAAAGTATATATGTATATATATATATATATGTATGTATATACATGCATGTATGTGCATATATATATATATACGTACATATCTATATATGTATATATATATATATATATACATATGTGTCTGCGCATTCAAGTGCGTTTGTTTCGCATATGTAAAAACATGTGGCCTGTTCTGTGCTATGTTTTGTATGTACTTGCATGTGGTCTTTTCCTTGTATTGTCCTTTGACGTTATGTTACGTTGTACACGGTTACGTTATGTTGTGTGTGGTGATGTATGTATTTATCTGTGTACTTATGTATCGTCATATGTGCAAACATATGTACAAAAACGTTTATGCATCTATATACTTATATACTGGCTTGTGTTCGAAGCCCGTATATATGTATGTATATGTATATATGTATATGTATATATATATATATGCTACCCCCCCTCAGTTATCTACCTTTTTCGGCGGCTTTCCAGGAATACCCTGTTGAATACCTCAATATACGTTACATATGCCATCTAGAATACCTATAGAGTACCCTATAGATAGGGATTCTAAATAT